CGCAGCAGCAACACAGGGCACACCACAGGCCTTGTGATGATAAGGAAGCTTTGAGAGCCTGAGAGAGTGATTAGTTCCACTGGGAACAAGGAGGAGCTGCTGACAAGGCCTCCCAGAGGTGGACAGGCTGGGCATCCTCACAGGAGGAGAGAAGACGGCAGGCACTGGGCCCAAGGCCATGGCCTCCTTCTGCCTAGCTCCCCTGCCTCTGAGCCCCCCTGCCCTGCTCAGATAGAGAGCTGAGTGCTCTGTTAGGGGGACTGTGGCACCTGCACCCTCAAAGAGCATGATGTTGATATTTATAACCCAGAAGGAGGACAAAACTCTGCCCCTGTCTCCACAGTCCTGCTACCTGGGGCGTGTGTTGGCCCCCCACGGCTCACCACTTCCTTTGTGTCTCTTTGAACACAGACTTCACAGCGTGGCCACCTTCCCACAGCCTGGTCCTTGCTTGCAGCAGCCAGGCAGCTGTGTGCACATCTACAGAGAAGGTGAGAAAGGAGTGAACAAAGCTGTCCAGGAGATATTTCATTGTTGTTGAGAGGATGTTTTAAACTTAACTTTTATTTATTAACACAAAATGGTAATGATCATAGAAGAAATTTAAATGTTTCATCTTGCAGCCCAGAAGGTAGTTATAGTTGTTTTATGTATGTGTGGACTTACCTTGAGGGGAGGTATGTCTATATCTGTTTAAAGTACTCCTTTGGCATTGGCATATGTTCACACCCTCATTGGGCCCTTAAGAGTTCTGTGCCTTGGGGCATCGGGATGGCTCTGTTGGTTAAGCGTTGACTTCAGCTTAGGTCATGATCTCATGGTTTGTGAGTTTGAGCCCCCTGTTGGGCTCTGTGCTGATAACTCAGATCCTGGAGCCTACTTCGGATTCTGTGTCCCTCTCTCTCTGCCCCTCTTGGCTCACAATCTGTCACTCTCTCTCTCTCAAAAATAAATACAACTTTAAAAAAGTTTTTTCAAAAAGAGTTCTGTGCCTGATGTGAATATCTTGATTCCTTCCTCAGGAAGGTGCTGAGGTAGACCAGGGCTGACGAAAAGACCTTGAGCTAGAAGCCCCCATGACTGGTAGAGTTAGATATGTCCCATAGCCCTTGTGGGTATGATGAATGGCTAAAGCTGGATTATCTCTTCTCATGCCTTTGTGGGTTCCCTCAGGGGCCACTGCTCTGGTCTTCCATCTGTGGTTCTTCCTTAGGGACATACTTCTTCTCTGGCTGGTCCCTTCCAGCTCTTCTCCTTCTTGCTTGGGCCCCTTTACCATCCACTTGCCCTCCGCAGAAAGATCCTTTTAAGGACAACCCCACCAGGGGCACATGGGTGGCTCAGTTGGTTAAGCGTCTGAGTCTGGCTCAGATCATGATCTCACAGTTTGTGGGTTCAAGACCCACGTTGGGCTCTGTGCTGACGGCCTGGAGCCTGCTTCGGATTCTGTGTCTCTCTCTTTCTGTCTCTCTGTCCCTCCCCTATTCCCCCCCTTCACTTGCTCTCTTTCTCTCAAAAATAAATAAAAGTTTTTTGGGGCGCCTGGGTGGCGCAGTCGGTTAAGCGTCCGACTTCAGCCAGGTCACGATCTCGCGGTCCGTGAGTTCGAGCCCTGCATCGGGCTCTGGGCTGATGGCTCAGAGCCTGGAGCCTGTTTCTGATTCTGTGTCTCCCTCTCTCTCTGCCCCTCGCCCGTTCATGCTCTGTCTCTCTCTGTCCTAAAAATAAATAAACGTTGAAAAAAAAATTAAAAAAATAAAATAAAATAAAATTAAATAAATAAATAAATAAATAAATAAATGCTTTTTAAAAAATTTAAAAAAAAGGACAACCCCACCTGACTACCCTTGACAGGAGCCAATTGTGATACAAAGAAGTTGGGGAGCTTTTGCCCCACCCAGTGGCACCACCTCTCTTGGCTCTGTTGCTGTCACCTTTAGACTTCTCAAGTGTGAGACAACTACCAGCCCTGTGGCTCTCAAGTTCCAGGAGACACATGTCAGTCTCTCCATCATAGTATTTACTCATTGAACAACTATTTTATTGAATGTCTGGCACATGCCCCAGGCCCCAAACATTGAAGAACAAAGTAGACAGAAATCCCTGCCCTTGAGGCATTTATGTTCTAGCAGGAAGAGTCAGACAATAAACAATAAGCAAAGTATATAAGCAAATTATAGAGTGTGTTAGGTTATCAGTGCTATGGGGGAAGAGGGAAAGAAGAGCAGAGCAGGATCAGGGGATCAGGAGGACACGGGGTGGAAGTTGCAGTTTTAAATAGTGTGGTCAGTGTGGCCACACTATTCGGTGAGAAGCTACCATCTTGAACTAGGCCATGTGGCTGGCTGCCTGGGCACAGCCTGAGCGCAGAGGAGAGCCTTGGCCTTGAGCAGGGGAGGGGATGGATCTAGGAGGGACTGGCTTTAGAGAGGAGTGTGGAAAGGTTTTTTGTTTTGTTTTGTTTTGTTTTTCCCCAACTAATGTATCTGCCTTGACATGTAATAGGAAAAACCAGGACTTGGCCCTTGTAAGTGCCCCTGGTTGTAGTTTGAGGCACACTTCTCAGGGGCAGGGAGATACTGGCCCAGTGTTCAGGGCTGCAGTTTGTTATACACTTGCTCTGTGACCCTAGATAAGTCACTTCCCCTCTTTAGAACTCAGCTTCCATATCTATAAAATGAGGGTGGTTCCAGCAGGTCCCCGTGGCCTTCAAGGGTCTATGATTCTACTGGTCCCTCAGGAGCCCTTCTGTCTGCAGGAGGGGAACACAGCCCTTCACCTGGCTGCTAGCCGCGGCCACCTGACTGTGTTGCAGCGACTCGTGGACATCAGGCTGGACCTGGAGGAGCAGAATGTGGTGAGTCACTACCCAGAAGATGCAGAGATGCGTGATGCTTGCTCACTCCCTGCTTTCAAGGAACCCCAGCCTGTGGTGCAGCCTGATTTTCCCCTGCTAGAGACTTTCTGGAGTAAAAGGGAATAGACAGAGGGCAGGGGGTGAGGCAGCTTGGAGGGTGAGGATATGAGCAGGGGTGTGGGGGCGGGAGTGAATATATCACATGCACCTCAAGGTGAGAAAATCAGGTATGGGGCTCAGGGAACCACAAATAACCCAGGTTATTGTCCTGAGTAGCATGGTGGTGGAGAGCTTCAATAGCCCTGGAGCCATGGTGCCAGGGGGGCCTTCTCATCTCAGGGTCTGGCCTCAGCCTCCCTGCCATCCTCATACCTCTCCCCTTGTGTTTCAGGAAGGTCTGACTGCCCTACACGCAGCGGTTGAAGGCAGCCACCCTGACTGTGTGCAGCTGCTCCTTGAGGCTGGGAGCAGCGTGAACGCCCTCACCCAGGTAGTCAGGCCTCCCCAGGACTGATGTCTTCCCTTGGCTACTGAGCTGGCCCTGACCCTAATTGTGTGGGAATAGAGGCCCTGAGGGCAGGCCCAGGGTGTGGTCTTGGCTTCTCCACTACTGAGCACTGTGACAGTGGGCAAGTTACTTAAATTCTCTGAGCCTCATTTCCCAAAATGGAGATGCTATGTAGTTACTTTTTTTACATTGCTGGTGAGGAGTAAATACCCCTCATGGTGTCTGGGATGTATTAGGAGCTCAACACCTGTTGGTGTCTTCTTATTGCTGGGTATTTGGTAGTTCATGAGTCCCCTTTATAACTATTACTTCAGAAAAATTTCCCCTGTTTTACCTATGAAGAAACTGAAGCTGTAGAGAGATTCAGTGCCTTTGCAGGTCACAAGCTGGTAAGAAGCAAAGCTGAGTCTGAAAAGCCCATTCCCCTGACTCCAGAGCTCATGGCCTGGAAAGTTTGCCCTGTCTGTGAAGGGGCCACACCAGCCCTCAGAGCTGGAGCCTGGGAGAGGCCTCCTCTCTCTCACTACTGTATTCCTTAAGTCAGCTGTTGGAAATTCTCCTCTGTGCCCTGGAAAGGGAGGTTGTAGCCTTTCTTTAGGTAGGAAGTTGGTGTTTTTGTTTTGTTTTGTTTTTGCTTTTTGTTTTTAGATCAATGACCAATAATCTTTCTTGGCTGATTGAATGGTTTCAGGATCTGGAATTCTCTATTTGTTCTAAATTTCAATCAGAAGGCGATGATACTAATAAATAAAAATAATAGCAAAAATAGTTAAAAAGCAGAGGAATTAAAATATGCTAAAAATGTTTAACACAAGAAGGCAGTCAAGGAGAAGCAGAAGAGCAAAAAAGACAGGAGACATATAGAAAATAAACAGAAAAATGGCAAATGTAAATTTAATAATGATATCAGTGTTAAAGTCCCCTGAATGTGAATAATGCTTAAAAGTCACAAAACACTTAATTTGCAAAACTTCCCTAGCAGGTAGCACCCTCTGCCCCAGGGTGTCGGGGTGACACCAAGGCCCACCCAGAGGGGGAAAGCACCTGCCCCAGGGCACCCAACTATGTCCTTCCATCTGCCCGACATTGCTCTTTGGTCAGCAGCCCTTTCTCTGTGCCCAGCACAGTGCTCAGTACTGAGAGGGGGCAAAAGAAGTGAAATGTCAAGGCTATCTCCCCAGCAGTAGCAGCATAGGAGTTGAGAGACTGGGGAGGTGGTGTCCAGCTGGCGGTCATTGGCAGGGCTGGAGCTGCCCACTGCACTGGGCCTCGTGCTCCAGCCTTGGCTTGAGGTTTCTGGCAGAAGGCACATTCTATTTGGACACTCCCACCCCTTGCAGGCTCTCTGAGAAGGGGGCTGACCCAAAGCGATTACATTTCCCATTGGGAGGTGGACTGGTTCCCATTCACCCTTGTGCACTCAGCTCAGATAGGACTTTGGGAGGATGACCAGCTCGTCCCACTTTGCCCCATACTGGCCTGGTTTTGAAAGTGAAAGTCCTGGGGAACAGTCTGGGCAGTCTGCAACAGTTGGCTACCTAGAAAGGTCTGCCTGGAGGAGTGGAGGGGTATTTCACGTGAGCTCGTCGTTTGGCCAGGGGCGTGCTCTGATTGAAGAAGAGCACTTAGAAAGCCCATCAAGGTGAAGCCCTTGCACTGCCTCTGCCACGCTCCTGCCTGGGCACGTTGAGACCCACTCCAGCAGGTGTGCACCAGGTGGGGTTTACTCTGTACTGACAAATCTTATTTGTTCCCCTCTTTGATGTACATTCTCAAGTTTGTGAAAGGAGGCACGGAAAAGCTCAGACCACAGTGAGCTCCTCTTACCAGTCACCAGACCTAGGCAAGACATTGATTTCTCCAGCTTCAGGGTTTAATGGGGTAATAGTCCCGGGGTTGTGAGACATAAATGGAATAATGGATCCCAAAGCCCCACTGTGAGGGGCTTTCAGGACATTGCACTGATGCCTGTTTCCCTCTAGAAAAAGCAAAGCTGCCTCCACTACGCAGCCCTTGGTGGCTCTGAGGATGTGGCCCGGGCCCTCATCCATGCAGGAGGCCACACCAACATAGCTGATCATGTAAGTGTGGGGGCTTGGGTTGAGGGGGGTCCCCACTGCAAAGTCTTCATGACCTCACTGGTGAAGCACAACAGGCAGAGATGAGCACTTTAGGTCCTTGGGGTTGGGATGGGGGCCAGGACTGGGGGACCTGGCCACATGAGGGTGGGCCAGATAAGCTTCTAGCTAGAACAGGGTTAGCAACCAAGTTGCATTTCCTCCCAAGTGAATTATCTGCTTGTGTTCTCCACTCATTTATCCATTGGGACCTAGTGATGATCTTTCATATTACAAATCTAGCCTCTTGGTTGTTCATTTTGTCCTGTTATATTGTGTGGTATACTCACAGGTGACAGTATATCCTGTGGTTAAGACATGGACTTTGTCAGATAACCTGGCTTGGAGGCCTAGCCCTGCCATGCACTGAACGACCTTGGGCAAGTTGCTTTGACCTCCCTGGGCCTTTGTTTCTTTATCTATAGGCACTCTTATTATTCCTATTATGTAAATGAGGAACTATCTGTTGTTTAGATTAGAAAGAGGTCATATCGTAGCTGAAATAAACACTATATTTAAAATTACTGTAAAAGCAGTATAACACAATTCTTTGGAATATAGAGATCCCTAATCCCAGCACCCTAGTAAAGCAATGACTTTTCCTTATTCCCTACCAGTTTTCCTCATATGTGTGGTAACTAGGCTAAGGCAGAATTCTGGAAAGGGTGATGCTTATTTGTTTTTACCCATAAAGACATCAGAAGTTTGATTCCAGTCCAGTGGAGATTATGCAGCTCAGGTATCAAAGGTTACGAGTTTTTCTAGCAACCATTTTTAATGCCAGATGTAGTTAAGTGACCACATCACACTTAACGGTACCTCAACTGTTTGGTATTTAAGTTGTTTCTACCTTTGCCAGGATAAATGATGATTTTATGAACATTTTTTTTTTTTTTTGAGAGAGAGAGAGAGGGTGCAAGTGAGTGAGGGTGGAGAGAGAGAGAATCCCATGAGGGGCAGAGAGAGAGATAGAGAGAGAGAAGTGGGGCTCACCCAAAGCGGAGCTTCAGCTCACCCAAAGCAGGACTCAGTATCTTCTAGTTATGATTTGATTTTTTATGTTTAACTCTTTAATTTTCCTAAAATGTATTTTTGTATATGGTGTGATATATTACTCAATAGATTTCCCCTCCAATTTTTTAATACTTCTATGTCAAGTGAATTTATTAAATAATTATAACATTTCTTAGTGCTTTTTCCTTCTTTATCACATATTTGCAGTTTGATATATGATGGGCTTTATATCTGGGCAAGTGATTCTCTTTCGGTAAGTTGTATATCTAATCTTGAGCTGGTACCATATTAATTATTATTGCCTTATAATTTATTTTAAAGGCATATAAAGTTAGTCTCCTTTAATTATCCTTGTCTCTTAGTATAATCTTTTATCCTTTTGTATTCTCAAATGTTTTTTTTTCCCTAGCTGAAATTTAAAGTATTTTTTCAATTAAAAAATTCAACTTAAGGATACAAAATCAATGTACAGAAATCTGTTGCATTCCTGTATACTCATAATGAAACAGCAGGGTGAAATTAAGAAAAAAAATCCCATATCACATCAGTAAGAGAAAGTATAGAAGCCATATGATCATTTCAATAGACGCAGAAAAGCATTTGACAAAGTACACATCCATTCATGATAAAAACCCTCTGCAAAGTAGGTCTAGCGGGAACATATATCAACATAATAAAAGGCTTTATATGAAAAGCCCACAGCCAATGGTGAAAAACTGAGAGTTTTCCACTAAGGTCAGGAATAAGACAAGGATATCCATTCTCACCACTTTTATTCAACTTAGCACTGGAAGTCCTAGCCCTAGCAATTAGACAACATAAAGAAATAAAAGGCATCCAAATTGGTCAGGAAGAAGTAAAACCTTCATTATTTGCAGATGACGTGATACTACATATAGAAAACCCAAAAGATTCCATCAAAAAAACTACTAGAGTTGATAAATGAATTCAGTAAAGTCACAGGATATAAAATCAATGTACAGAAATCTGTTGCTTTCCTATACACTAATAATGAAACCGCAGAAAGTGAAACTAAGAAAATAATCCCATCTGCAATTGCACTAAAAACAATAAAATATCTAGGAATAAACTTAACCAAAGAGATAAAAGACCTACACTCTGAAAGCTATAAAACGCTGATGAAAGAAATTCCAGACAATGCAAAGAAATGGAAAGATATTCTATGCTCATGGGTTGGAAGAACAAATATTGTTAAGATGTCCATATTACCCAAAGCAATGTACAGATTTAATGGAATCCCTATCAAAATACCAACAGCATTTTTCACAGAACTAGCACAAAAAATCCCCAAAATTGTATGACACCCAAAGACCCTGAATAGCCAAAGGAATCTTAAAAAAGGAAAACAAAACTAGCGGTATCAAGTTGTATTTCAAAGCTGTAGTAATTAAAACAGTATAGTACTGGCATAAAAACAAACACAAAGATCAATAGAATAGAAAGGAAAACCCAGAAATGAACCCACAATGTCATGGTCAATTAGTTTTTGACAAAGGAGCAATGAACATACAATGGGAAAAAGTCTCTTCAACAAATGGTGTGGGGAAAGCTGGACAGCCACATGCAAAAGAATGAAACTGGACCCCTTTCTTTCACCGTACACAAAAATAAGCTCAAAATGGATTAAAGAACTCAATGTGACACCTGGAACCATAAAAATCCTTGAAGAGAGCACAGACAGTAATTTCTCTGACATCAACCATAGCAACTTTTTTCTACTTAGGTGTCCTGACACAAAGGAAACAAAAGCAAAAGTAAACTATTGGGACTACATCAAAATAAAAAGTTTCTACACAGTGAAGGAAACAGTCAACAAAACTAAGAAGGAACCTACAGAATGGGAGAAGATATTTGTAAATGACATATCTGATAAAGGGTTAGTATCCAAAATATATAAAGAACTGATACAACTCAACACCCCCCAAAATAAATAATCCAATTAAAAAACAGGCAGAAGAAATGAACAGACATTTCTCCAAAGATGACATATGGATGGACAACAGACATATGAAAAGATGTTCAACATCACTCATTGTCAGGGAAATGCAAATCAAAACTACAATGAGAGATCACCTCACACCAATCAGAATGGCTAAAATCAAAAACATAAGAAATAAGTGTTGGCGAGGCTATGGACAAAAAGGAACCCTCATGCCCTGTTGGTGGGAATGCACACTGTGCAGCCACTGTGAAGAACAGCATGGAGGTTCCTCAGAGCCTACTGATGATGACATTTGGTCTGATGAATGGAGGCACCATGATTTATTAACCTCCTCAACTGTGGTAGAGCATCAGGTTTACTTGCTAATGCAGGTAGCATAGTTTTGTGCATATGACCTCTTTGGGGGCAAGATTCTCAGAAATAGGGAATTTGAGGTCAAATATTGTGAGCATCTTTCTAGCTCTTGATATGTAAGCCGAACCCTTCCTAGAAGTGTTGTGCCAATCTGCAGAGTCACTAGCAGTGTCCAGGCTGTTTGTTTCTTAGTCCTCTCACCCGAAGTGTGTATTAGCTTTTTCGTTTTCTCCCAATTAAAAAAGACCCCAGGAGTGCCTGGCTGGCTCAGTCAGAAAGAGCATGGGACCCTTGATCTTGGAGCCATGAGTTCAAGCCCCATGTTGGGTGTAGAGATTACTTTAAAAAATGAACACCTGGGTGCCTCAGTCCATTACTCAGTGTCTGACTCTTGATTTCATCTTAGGACATCATCTCACAGTTCATAGGTTCAAGCCCCACATTGGGCTCTGCACTGATGGTGCAGAGACTTCTTGGGATTCTCTCTCCCCACCGCTCTCAAAAATAAACAAATAAATAAATAAATAAACTTAAAAAATTAAGATCTTAAAAAAAAAAAAAGAACAACACAGGAACCTTGTGAGGAAACTGTTGTGTATCTTGACTATGTAGTGGATACATGAACATACACATGTGATAAAATGGTGTAGAACTAAACATACATGTACAAATGACTACAAGTGAAGCTGGGGGATCTGAATAAGATGGTGGATGTTGTCAGAGTCATTATCCTGCTTGGGATATTACTAGGGTTTTGTAAGATATTACCATTGGGGAAAAGTGGGTGAAGGATACACCAGAACTCTCTATATTATTTCTTAATTGCATGTGATGCTATAATTATTTCAAAATAAAAATAGAAAGTTCTGCCCCGTTAAAAAAATTTAAAAGTCTCTGGAAGGACACACATAAAAGCAGAGATTTAGGTTACCGATGGGGTTTAGGAGTAGGGGGTATGAGCAGGTGTGTGAATGCAGGTAGAAGAAAGCTTTTCACTAGATACCTGTGTACTTTTTGGTTATTTTGGTTTTTATAAATAAAATGTAAAACAACTAAAAGCCATATTTGCTCTCTTTCCACTCCCCTTTCTGACCACATTCCCCCAGATGCGTTTCCAGGACGACCGAGGCTATATCCAGTGTATTTGGTTGTTTTATCTCCATGGCCTTCTGCTTCCTGGAAAGCCCAGACTTGTAGTTCTGGACAGATTTCCAGGCTCACCTGAGTCGTGCATTTGAGCCAGTTTCTAGTTTTTGCCCGTTCACTGTCACAGCAGACCTTTTTGGGGCCTGATTTTTATTTCTATTATCTGGCAATGATCTGAGGCCATTGTTGAAGTTGAAATTCTTATGGTAGTTTTTACCTGTGTTCAAATTTTTTTTCTAGACGTGTTTCAAAATAATTTTTGGCATTTACTGAAATTTGAGTTTGGGATTACGTTAAGCTTATAAATAATATAAAATAGTCATCTTTGTAATATGTTTTTTTATACATTTTTTTCAATGTTTATTTTTGAGAGACAGAGCGTGAGCAGGGGAGGGGCATAGAGAGAAGGAGAGACAGAAGCTGAGGCAAGCTTTAGGTCTGAGCTGTCAGCACACAGCCTGATGCAGGGCTCGAACTCACAAACCATGAGATCATGACCTGAGCCTAAGTCAGATGTTTAACTGACTGAGCCACCCAGGAGCCTCTCTAATATATTTTCACTAGGAGCATGAAGTCTTGCCATTTCTTTATGTCTTCTTTTATATCCTTCAGTGAAGTTATATAGCTTTTAGTTTGCCTTTGATATGTCCATTTCCAATTATACTCTACATAAATACTTGATATTTTTTGACTGTTGTGAATATTTTTTTTAATTATGTCATTTCTTGTAGCATTCAATATAGGAATGCTCTATGACTTTTAATTTTACTAGAGTTTTTTTTTTTTAGGGGGTAATAGCTTTTTTAAACCTGTCTAGATATACAATCACATTGCCTACAAATAATTGTATAGTTTAAATATTCTTTTCCAATATCAATAAACTTTTTTTTTCATTTGCTGGCCTAAACTAATAGACACTGGTAGTGGACATTTTTGGGGTGTGTATCTATGTGTGTGTGTGTGTGTGTGTGTGTGTACTCTGTTCTGTAATCTTTTTACACTTAAAATGTGAGCCTGTTTTTCCACCATCAGTGTTTTGGCTTTGTACTCTTCCACTATGTGTGTCACTATATCACCTAGAGGGAAGGATGCTATTGCAGTATCTCTACTTTGCCATGTGGTCAGGCATCAGAGGGGACGACTGATGAAGGAGTCTTCCAGCCTTGAGTGAGGCCTTGGATGTGTGTTGCCTTGGAGTGAGGTCTCTGTTCTGGTCCTGGCTGGCTCCCTCATTCCTTCCTTCCACACATAAACAGTAATCAGGCACCTACCTGAGTATTGAAGGGAGAAACTCCAATAACACAAGGTTCCTGTTAGCTGTTGGGCAAGTCACTTACGTCTTGTGAACCTCAGTGTTCTTGTCTGTAAGTTGAAAATACTAGTAACACCATTCCTATATATACTTCCTAGGTTCGTGTGTGGATTCAATAAGATATTAGAGAACTTTAAGTGTTGTTGCTACAAGGGACCTCAGCAAACATTACTTGCTAGGTGAAGAGGAACAGAGAAGGGAAATGACTTGCCCACAGTTCCACAGTGAGTTTCTGGCATAGCAAGGTCTCAAACTTGGGTCTTCAAGCTCCCACCCACCTTGAGGATCAGTTTTGGGCTCCAGGGATTCAGCCTTTGGGGTTATAGATTCCTCAAGCCACCCATGTCCTCTGAGGAGCAAGAAGGGACAAACCTAGAAGCAGTATATTTATATACCCCTCCCTACTTCGATCCCCCAGCACCAAGCTGTGCTGGACAGTCCTGGAGGGACCGTTCAATTGATTCATGTGTTTTCTCCCCCAGCAGGGAGCCTCTCCTATGCACCTCGCTGTGAGGCACAACTTCCCTGCCTTGGTCCAGCTCCTCATTGACGCAGGCAGTGACCTGGATGCCACTGACAATGTAAGTGGTTGCAGAAACCATCTGGGCACCCTCCCAGGTGGGCAGGGCTTGGCTGTAATCTCCTAGCATGGCCTAGAGTTGAGGAATTAATTTTTTGAGCTTGTAAAAAGCTGTCTAATATTTGTTGAAGAGAACATCATTTTATGAACCACTCTATTTTGAACATTTTGGTGGTTTTCAAGCTGTTGCCATGGTCTATATAACACTGTAGTAAACATCTTCCTGTGTTCAACCATTTCCTTTTATTGATTCTATTTTCCTTTGGGAAAATTCCCAGGACAGGGGTGACTGGGTCAGTCTTGTGTAACAAGAAGCTTCTGAGTCCTGAAGTTGTGCTCAGTCAGGCACCCTTTTAATTCCCCATCCCCACAACTCTCCCCCTGACCATCTAGTAGTCCTCAGTGCCAGCACGTACAGCCACTAGTGGTGGAAAACAGCTTTGCAGGATATATCACGTACCTTCAAAATTGTCAGTATTTGCACTTCAGCGAATTGAGCCTCAAGAAATACATTAAAAGCTCATGCACAAAGATATCTATTGCAGCATTGCTTATCAATCTTCAACATCAATCTTGCCCAAATAGTTAATAAGAGAGAAGTGGTCAGGTAGATTATGGTTATAGACGTAGACTACTATGGAGCTGTTAAAAACAGTGTTTATAATATGTGGAAATGTTATGTTAGGTAGAAAAATGAATGCAAAATGTATATACGGGATGATCTCATATACAACCAGTAAACCAAAAGCATTCTGCATTAAAGACTAGAAGAAATATATTAGGATCATTACAGAGGTTGACTTAGCCAGCAAGTGGTATTTTTTCCTTTGTTCTTTCTGCTTTTTGTTTTTACCAAGTTTTCTCTGGTATTAGGCTTATGACTAAACCCAGCTTACCCTCTCCCATAACTTCTTAGAGAAACTTTTTTTTTTTAATTTTTTTTTTCAATGTTTATTTTGGGGACAGAGAGAGACAGAGCATGAACGGGGAAGGGGCAGAGAGAGAGGGAGACACAGAATGGGAAGCAGGCTCCAGGCTCTGAGCCATCAGCCCAGAGCCCGACGCGGGGCTCGAACTCACAGACCGCGAGATCGTGACCTGGCTGAAGTCGGACGCTTAACCGACTGCGCCACCCAGGCGCCCCTTAGAGAAACTTTTTAAGGCCCAGATAAGAGTGTACTCACCTTGGAACTGTCCTGGCTTTGAGTCTTGGGCCACTCATACATACTTTTGTACTCCCCTGTCCCTTTGGCTTCTCCAGAGGCAGCAGACGCCCCTCCACCTTGCTGCTGAACACGCCTGGCAGGACATAGCAGAGATGCTCCTCGTCACTGGGGTTAACTTAAACCTGAGAGATAAGGTACCTCTCCTCCCAACCAGCCTCCCTTTCAAGCTTTCATGGCTCCCTCTTTGCCAGAGACCCTATTACAAATGTCTCGTGCTCTCAGACTATTCAAGGCTTCCCATCCTTTATATACTAGTTCAAAAGCATCCTCCTCCGGGAAGTCTTCCTGCCCCTCCATTACTTTCCCCTTCCTCCTCTGAGGTCCCTCAGGACTTGGCCTGCCCTTCTCCTGGTCTAGAATTGTGATGTGGTCACCTTCTGTTTCATGGCTCCTCAGACTTTGAGCTCCTTGAGTCGCCTGGTGGGGAGGGGGAGAGGGAGTAGAGGAGCAGGGTCCCACAGCCCCCTAAATATAGGACAGGGGTGGGGAAGCTACCTGGCTCTTTGTGCCTCTGGGCTGACTACTTCCTCAGGTGCTGGAGGTTCCAGACCAGCTGAAGATTTGGTCTGAGGCTGAGAATGTCACAGGCTCATGAGTGGAAGGGGCTTGCACCTGTGGCCCAGTATGGTGTGGGGAAGAATTGGGGGCAGAAATGGGCCCTGAGGCTGAATCTGGGAGGGACTCCCTGCTTTGAGCTGGGCCCCAGGGTAGCTGGCCATATGTAAAGAGGAGCTTCCCAGCTCCCTGCAGGTGCCTGGAGAGATTGAGGCCAGCCCTGTGCCAGAGGTCTGGAGCGAAGGGCCTGGGAGCATGAAGTGGGGAGGGCAAATGGACCTAATGAACCCAGTCCCCTTCCCTGGGCTCTGGTTTCATCTGAGAAGTGGGGCAGGTAACCGCTATTTCAGAGGTAATGTTGAGGAGTTGTGTAGGCTGAGTTTCATAAGCTCTAAGACTTTCTAAATTCTAAAGAAACAAGAGGTGGTTACTGGAATTATTATTCTTGCCTCGTTCAATCCTTCCCCATGCCCAGAAAACTTTTCTGCTCTCCAGTGTAGACTGCTGGAAACTGCTTTCCTTGGGCAGGAATGTTTGCCGTCAGTACTAGAGGCTACCTTACGCCCCACCTGTAGCAACTTTGGCTTCCATTCTTACTTCTTACTTGCAGCAAGGGAAAACTGCCCTGGCAGTGGCCGCCCGCAGCAACCACATCAGCCTGGTGGACATGATTATAAAAGCTGATCGCCTCTACAAATGGGAGAAGGTACTGAGGCCCTGCACTTGGTCCCTCCATGTTGCAAAGGGACTGTGTGGGCTTGGCTCTAGGTGGGGCTGGCTTTGAACCCCAGCCCTGACCAATTCAGGACCACCCTCAGTTTCTGAGGAGGTGATAATCCCTGCCTTACCTAACACCAGGGTTGTTTGTGAGCATCTGGAGATGAGTGAGCACCTAAACCACACTGAAACAAAGCAGACTAAGGTCCATGCCAGTGTGGAGATGTTACTGGACTCTGTTACAGCCCCTGGTTGATGGATTCATGTGTGCGTGCCGGCATGCATGAATAAAGAGATGGCAAGTTGGTTTTAGCTCACTGCCATCTTCAGGTGATTGGATTGCTGTTCGGGGTGTTCTATTCAGGCAACTTTCTGAGCCCAGAAGGAAAGTGTGCTGGGATTAATTAGTGATGTCTGCTGAAGAATTGGGGAAGAGTAGCAGGTGTTAAGGCCATGCTTTTCCAGTCCTCAGGAAATGGGGGTGGGATGGGTTTTTTTTTTGACATCTTTGAAGGTTGTTTTTGTATACAGAAAACAATTTTTGCATTTACTTGAGTTTTAAAAATTAATACTAAATTTATTATGAATTTTAAAACCTAGTTTTCCTTAAACTTTTAAAATCAGTTTATAAATCTTTTTTTTTTTTAATGTGTATTTATTTTTGAGAGAGATGGAGACAGAATGAGAGTGGGGAAGGGGCAGAGAGAGGGAGACACAGAATCTGAAGCAGGCTCCAGGCTCTGAGCTGTCAGCACAGAGCCCGACGCGGGGCTCGAACTCACGGACCGTGAGATCATGACCTGAGCCGCAGTCGGACGCTCAACAGACTGAGCCCCCCAGGCGCCCCTCATGTTATAAATCTTATTCCATTTATACAGCTACTATATTTTAGGAATTTTAGGAATTTCCACTTTCAAGGAAGCCTTTTGATTAATGTTTGGATCCATGTTTAAACTTAGTTAATTAAACTATCTTAAACATTCTAAACTGAGTGAATAATAGATTTTTAAAAGTACTTTGCTTCCTAAATTCTTAAGTTATCTTAGTATATCCAGTAAATTAAACCTATAAATAAAGTAAGTCTCAAATATCTTAAACATTTCAATATTGTTTGCAAACTGAGTAAACTTCTCTTATACCTCTCAAATTAAAAAAAAATCACTATTCCAAAATTAGTTAATAACACATTTCAATAGCAATCATAAGATATTCTCTTTCATGGACATGCTAGATTCTCAAAAACATAGCCCCTTTATGTCCAACAGGTTACTCCTCAATGTAACCCCAAAATATTAATACCAAGGGCGTGATTAACTGATTCATCTCTGTGCGTAATTCTAACACCTCAGACTTCAAAAGTTCTCAACGTCAAGGTGGCGGGGTGGTTAGAATCACAGCCTGCCCCCCACTCCCACCCTAAGGCCAGTTCATTCAGAATCTCTGGTGTGGGAACCAAGCATCAGTAGTTCTTAAATCTCCTGGATGATCCCAATGTACAGATGCGGCTAAGAACACTGCTCTGAGGAACCAGTCTCCCTGGTCACCATGTCATAGGTGACTGAACATTGTTGACCAGGATGTAAGATTTGCAGCTGCAGACACCAGAACTCACCTGAGCTTTTTAACAACCAGAACTCTGTATCCACATCCTTTAGAGGGGCTTACTTAGGCTTTTGTGGGTTTAACCGATGCTATCACATAGTTCTTTTATAACTTCTCATTTTATCACCTGCTTTGCATAGAAAGAATTCTGTAACCCCGCCCTTCACTACTTGTTGAGATTCTGCAAATCTGCTTAAGTACCTGATCCTTGGCTTGACTGGTGTTAGCCACAGCTGCTGAGTCCTTCTGCTGGCACTTGTGCTGTGAGAACACAGAGAAAAGAGAGGAATTGGGAAGGCTTCCTGGAAGAGATGGCATGTAGATGGTCTCTTGACTGTGGTGATGGGGTTGAGGGACAGGGAGGTGAGAAAAGGAGTTCTGGATGGAGGAACAATGTGAGCAGCTGGGGTTCTAGAGGTCAAAGCAAGGCACAGAGAAACCAGAAACCCCAGGCCTGTGATGATGCCAGTACCCCATCCAGGCTCCCGAGGGAGAGCCTGGCAGGGATGTCCCCCCTGGTGGCAGCTGCACTTTTGGGATCTGCCCCACAGGATCACGTGTTGTGCAGGGACCCCAGGGATCCCTCTGGGAAGAACTTGACCTTTAAGCAGGACCATCGGCAGGAAACGCAGCAATTCCACTCTGTGCTGTGGCGACTGGCTTCCAGGCATCTGCGGCCTCAAGAGTGGAAGAAGCTTGCGTATTGCTGGGAGTTCACCGAGGCCCACGTCCATGCCATCGAGCAGCAGTGGACAGGTACCACCCGGCCTCTCCCCACCCCAGAGCAACCAGTGGGTGGAAGGGGGGCACTTGTGTGTTCAGTTTTATGCATTTCTGGGGGAAAAGCCAGTGTAACCTGGCAAAGTTGGATGGCAAGCCACATGTCATCGCATGTCATCGCCAACATCCCGTGTGCTTCTCCATCCTTCCAGGCCTTTGCTCAGGCTGAGCCCTCTGCCTCTCCCTCTCCCTTGACCTGTGAACCTCACATTCTTTGTGAATGAGCTCGTCATTCACACAAACTAAAGGCACTCTCCATAAAAGGTAGAGGACCAGCTCTTGCCACCAGTATTTAACTTCTACTTGGAAATGTTGGCTCTGTACTAAGGGAGAAAACAGAAACAGAAATAAAGACTGAAAATATTGGAAAGGAAGAGAGATTTACTAACTTCAGGTGCTATAATCCTATACATGAGCAGTCCAGAAGAATCAGCTGAAAAACTTAGCATAAAATAATTCAGTGAAATGGCTAAAGATATGATAAAGTATACAAACACCATAGTATTCCTATGTACTATCAGTAAGTGGGGAAAAATATATAGGGGTATTTTTGAAAAGATATTCCATTTACAATAGTGTTTCTAAAAAGAAGTATGAATGGCATATGAGTAAAACAGTAAAAATTAGTTCAACTATTAAAAAAAGACTTGGGTAAGTGGAATGACATTCTGTATTCTTGGCTAGAAAGTGTCAGGTAGACATTGGTTTTTCCCAAACTAGATTAAAAATTTGAATCAGTTTTTTAAAAAGTTTTTTTTTTAATGTTTATATATTTTATTTCATTTTTAAAACTTTTAAATTAAGTTTATTTATTTATTTTGAAAGAGAGAGCAAGCAGGGTAGGGGCAGAGAGAGAGAGAGGAGAGAGAGAATCCCAAGCAGGCTCTGCACTGTCAGCACAGAGCCCAATGCGGGGCTCAAACTCATGAAACTATGAGATCATGACCTTAGCCAAAATCAAGAGATGCTTAATCGACTGAGCCACCAGCCAGGTGTCCCCAAAATTGATTGTTTTAATCAAAACAAATCAAAATAGAAAGTTTTTGAAACTTGACTAAAGGATTCTAGAGTTCACTTGAGAGAATAAAGAGGGAATATTTAAATGAATATTCTGGGGGGAAAAGTGAAGAAGGTCTAATCCAACCAGACCCAACCTTTTATAAAGCTCCAATAAAGCATAGACAGATACTCGACATATGTTTTCCCAAACATAAAAATATGCACACCAGTTAGTGAAATAGAGCAGGGAGTCCAAAAGTAGCATCTATGATGGATAAGAACTTTCACAGATGATAAAGGAGTACTGGTAAATTATGGGGCTGGGGCGAGGAATAGTGAATAAATGGGTCAAATGAAACAGCTACACCAAGGGCAGCACCATGAGGAAGTGCCTGCTGAATGTGCCAGTGAATGGACTGATTCGGCCCTGATGGCTGTGCCCAAACATGTGTGTCCCCGACTGGGAGAGCAGACCTTGTCACAGAGTTTAGTAACAAGTTAACGCCCTCCTCCGGCACTGAAGAGTGTGGGCAGTTATTTTCAAACATGGCTGTACATTGGAATTACCTGGGAAGATGTAACACTGCTTAGCGCCCAGGCTGCACCCAGACCCAAGTAGGTTGGAATCTCTGGGGAGGGTAATGGAACCCAGGTGTCACTGTTTTCTAAGACTTCCCAAGGGTTTCCAATGAGCAGTTACAGCTAAGAATCACTGGTGCAGGGGAGAGAACATGGCCACCTGTGTCTCGCACTATGCTGGTTTTCTCATCTGTAAAATAGGGCTGCTAGCGTGCAAGGCACAGATGAGCAGCCAGAGATGAAGGGAACAGTCGTGTGCATCATGGAATCACAACAACAAGTGCCAAATCTTTCTCTCTTCAGAGCAACACCAACAGGATGCATGGTGGATGCTCAGGAGAAAGCCTGGGGTTGGGGACGTTCTAGGATACAAAACCTCCACCCTCACCCCATCTGAGGCTGTCTCTTCCCTCCTCTCCCCATCTCTGGGCTGAGCTCCACCGGAGCTTGGAAAAGGGCCTCTTGGCTCTTTCCCACCTGGACATGTGTACTACAGACATCTGCTCAGACTTGGCTCCTTCTCTTTCTCTCCTCATGGTCCTCAGGCATCAAGAGCTACCGGGAGCATGGCCACCGGATGCTGCTTATCTGGCTGCATGGTGTGGCCATAGCCGGTGAGAATCCCAACAAAGCACTGTTCGAGGGCCTCGTGGCCATTGGCAGGAGGGACCTGGCTGGTAAGAGTGTCCTCTGCTCAGGGCAATACTGGGCCCTAGAGTCAGAGCTGCATGGCCCACCTTGGAGTGTGACAGGGTCCCCAAAGTTCTGCCCAGGCCATAATGCTGTGGGGCAGCACCTTCCAGATTGCTGGTCCTAGCCTTGTCTACTGGAATTCAGGCAGAGCCCTGAGCAAACCACAGTACCTCCTGGCCCCCATTTCCCCATCTGTGCCATGAGGGTTTGGGCTCAGATGATGCCTGCAACTTTCACAGCCCCAAAGCCACTGGTGTTATCATCTCTGGCCCTCTGTACTTTGATTTTTGTTTTTGTTTCTAGTTTAAAATAAGGCTGGAACAGCCTATAGACTTCTTTTTTCACAAGCAGTAATATATATAGGCCAGAAGTAGCTTAATATGAGTTGAACCAGTCAGAGCTGGTCAAATAAATAAAATATCTGAGGCCATCACGACCTTTTGAGTCTGTCAATTCCAAAAGCCTGGTTTGAGATTCAGGGCACCCTGTGGAATCATCAGGCAAGCGAGATAAAAGGTTCAGTACTAATCCCTCATTAAAAACAAAATCAGCTCATGATGAAAGAACCTTAAATACTGTAATACACGTCCCTGGCATGGTGCATTACGGGGCTACCACAGGACAGGGTGTTAGGCAGTCACCAATAATAACGAAGGCTAGGTTAGTCACGCACCAACAGTAAAAACATGGGTAGCATGTTATTGACAGGAAAAAGGAAAGGTCCCCTTTGTAGTATCTCATAGCTGCTGCAGGCAAAGTGGGAAACAGTCACTTCAGAGTGGAGGAATTAGGGATGACTTTTTCTTTTTCAAAACGTTCTTAAATATTATTGCTCTATCTTTTTTTTTTAACACAAACTCTCGCAGGCAATTAAAACATTTTTTTTTTAATTTTTTTTTCAACGTTTATTTATTTTTGGGACAGAGAGAGACAGAGCATGAACGGGGGAGGGGCAGAGAGAGAGGGAGACACAGAATCGGAAACAGGCTCCAGGCTCTGAGCCATCAGCCCAGAGCCTGACGCGGGGCTCGAACTCACGGACCGCGAGATCGTGACCTGGCTGAAGTCGGACGCTTAACCGACTGCCTCAATTAAACGCTTAACCAGGTGCCCCAATTAAAACATTTTTAAAACCAGCTCTGTGAGGCAGAGCTTAGGCAACATGAAGCAATAGGATTCTTCTGTCTTGCAGAAAGCATCAGGAAGAAAGCAAATGCTGACCCGGGTACCCCCAGGAGGTGTACAGCCATGTAACTGGAGAGGCCAGACCTTCAGGGGCATGGAGACTCAGAATGGGGGCCCCTGAACAGAAGAGGACCACCATTTAAGGGCTTTTAAAAAATCACTGTTAACAGACCTCCAGCTGCTTGTACTGAAACACCCAGCCCTGCAGGACCAGCAGGCACTGTTTGTAATCTCTTTCACAGGGGTTAGTCCAGGGGCCAGTTCAGGTTTTGCAGGTAATCCCTTCCCACAGGTGCAGTCCTTTGCAGCTCTTGGAGCATCACAGCAGTCCCCTGAGATGCAAGGGCCATCTTTTCAGAAAGGACACTGAGGCTCAGAATGGATAAGCAGCTAATCGGCTGTTGAGGTCAGGTGCCAAACCCAGCATTCCTGTCTCCCCAACCTGGCAAAAGGACTCCAACTGTCACTTACAAAACGGACCTCCTTTAACTCATTCACTGGCTTTTAATGAATGCTGTGCTTACAAAAAGTGTTTCTGTTCACAAGCTTATTTATATGCTTTGACAGTTCTAAGAGGTACACACATTCTTTTTTTCCCATTTTGTTTAGAAATTTAATTTTAAAAATTTAGTTTTATTATTTTTTTGAGAGAGAGAGAGAGAGAGAGAGAGAGAGTGCGCATGCATGGGAGACAGGGAGAGAGAGAATCCCAAGCAGGTTCCATGCTCGGTGCACATCCCCACGTGGGGCTCAATCCTACAACTAAGATCATGATCTGAGCTGAAATCAAGAGTTGGATGCTTAACCGACTAAGCCACCCAGGCACCCCTAGAATTATTTTTAACTTTAAAATTTTATTTTGAAATCATTTCAGACTTACAAAAACATTGCAGAAACAGTATGAAGAATTTCTGAATATGCTTCACAATACAGCTTCCCCAAATATTACCATCTTACATAATCACAGTATAATTTTCAAAACCAGGAAATTAACACTGATACCATACTATTAACTCATCTTCAGACCTTATTCCAATTTTGTTAGTTGAACCGTTCATGTCCTTTTTCTGGACCAGGATCTAGTCCAGAATCACACCTTGCATTTAGTTGTCATTCTTTTTTTTTTTTTTAAGTTTATTTATTTTAAAAGACAGAGAGACTGCGTGTGCACAGGGGGGGAGGGGCAGAGAGAGAGGGAGAGACAGAATTCCAAGCAGTCTCCACACCCTCAGCGCAGAGCCTGATGCAGGGCTTGAACTCCTAAATTCAAGACCTGAGCCAAGATCAAGAGCTGGATGCTTAATCAACTGAGCTACCCAGGTGCCCCAGGGACCCCTGTCTTAGAAAAACTCCCCACAGAGTTATCCACTGGGTCTGAGTCTCAGGAGGGAAAGACAGAATAAAAACTGTTAAGAGCTGAAAGGGGCTTCAACCGTCACACATGGCCAGTGGGAGGTCACAGTCGAACAATCCTCTGAAAGGCAGGTGGCATTATATCTACCAAAATTACAAATGCATTTGCCCTTTGACCCAGCAATCCCACGTGGAGGAATTTATCCTACAGATAAACCTGCAAACATTAGATACCAAGACCAATGCAAGTTAATATGGCAGAAATTGCTGGGCAGAGGGGTGTATGGGAACTCTGTGCTATCTGCTCAGATTTTTATTTTTACTGTTAACATTTTTGAGAGACAGAGCGTGAGTGGGGGAGGGGCAGAGAGAGAAGACACAGAATCCAAAGCAGGCTTTAAGGTCTGAGCTGTCAGCACAGGGCCCAATGCGAGGCTCAAACCCACAAACCATGAGATCATGACCTGAGCTGAAGTTGGACACTTAAGTGACTGAGCCACCCAGGCATCCCTGCTCAGGTTTTATTTTTAACTGTTTTTAAAAATAAAGCCTATTAACAATTTTTAAAAAATACCTGAGGCGTATGAAAAGAAAGAAAAAGAGCCTTTGAAACCAACCTATTTTACACACAATCACCTATAGGACTGAGGCTGCACAGTCACAGCATGATTTGGATCCCCAGTGCAGCATGTGGCCTCTATGCCCTTCCTCTTCAAGTGCTGTGTTGAGGGGGAGAAACCTTCTCTTCTATATATTCCATTTAGGACATGTATTTTGTACCACATGGGATTTAGACTATTTATCTGGATGAATTTTGTGAAATGGATTTTGTGTTTTGAGACAAAAAAGCAAGTTCTTAAAGAAAATAAAATTGAAATGTTGAAATACATCTTTCACATTCAATATGGTTTTTTTGTTTGGGAGAAGTATGGCAAAATTTCAAGTCAGACAAGCTGTTGTGGATTGGTTCTCTGTAACCACACCACTCAACTCACTACCACCAGTCAGTATTTACTGAGTGTGTTCCATGCCGGGCAGTCTGCTGGGAGCTGGGCTGCAGAGCTGAGTAGCCACGGTTCCTGCCCTCTGAGACCTTGTGATGGGGTGAGGGGGGGCTGGGACAACAATAATGTACTATCATGTGTTGGGTGTATACAGAAAACTGTGGGATTTGTTCTTCCTCGGGGAAGGGAAAGGGGAAGAGAAAGGGGAAGAGGAAGGAGAAGGGGAAGGGAAAGGAGAGGAAGGTCTGAGAAGCTCACAGAGAAGGCAGAAATGGCGGGAAGCACATTCCAAGCAAAAAAACCAGTCTGCGTGATGGCGAGGAGGTGTGATGTATCTATTTGGGGGATGGTGTGGTTGGAACACAGGAAGCATGGGAAGAGGAGGAGAGAGGAGCTGGAGAGGCAGGAGGGCCTGGCTATTTCAGCCCCTGGGAGACTATTCCAACGGGCACTCTTAGCTCAAGAGCCCTCTATGTGGTCAGCCGGTGCTTGGGGACGCCTGTGTCACAGCTCAGCTTCTCCCCTGCCCAATCCACTTCCCTTCACAACCTCTTCTCTTTGACCCTAAATAACCATCTTGCTCCCAAAGTTTCATCTTAGTATCTGCTTCACCTTGAGACTTGGGGATGGGGTGGGATCCAAGATGGCTGTTTCTAGCTGGGGCATCTGGGGAACAGTGATGCTGGGAGTTGGGGCGGTGGGTTAAGGAGAGAAGGGTTAGATTTGGGCAGTGGGGTCATGGGTGTGGCTTTTGACAGGTGGAGTCTGGTGTGCCTGTAGAAGGCTGGCCTGATGTACAGGCATTCAAGGCCAGCTCAGAATCCGCTGGGGCTGGAAATGACAATCCTCAGGGCATAGAACCAGGGAGTAGTTAAAGCTGTTAGGGAAAATTGGCTCCCACGGGGAGAATGTGAAAAGAAAGCAGAGGGCAGTCTCACAGTTCATTGCTGTACCAGGAGAGGAAGGGGCTACTGGCCATGTGTGGCCTGGCTCTGCCCATAGGAGTTCCTGTTGGTGGGGAAGGAGTCTCAGATGCTAATAGTTAAAAACATTAAGCTCCTACCTTCATGGCTTCCCAAGTGCTTCCCATAACTCACAACTGTTCTCGAGTCACAAGACAGTCAGAGCAGACACTGGCCTACGTGGAAAGATCCTTGGTTTTGTGATGGTCAGATCCAAGTTAACATCCCAGCTCTGCCCTTTCCTGTGTGATGATGAGCAAGTCTCTTGGCTCCTCCCAGTCTCCATGACCTCACCTGTAAAAATCAGTTTAATCAGGGTTGTGGTGGGGATTAAGTCAGAAATAGGATGGCTAACTCAATATTCTTAAAACTTAAAGGGAAAGAAGCATTCATGATGATTTTTCTGTCTCACTTGTACCTCAGAGAAACCAAATAATTGATGAGGGGAAGATTTTTGTTTTTAAATCAGAGAATTCTAGTTAATAAATGGAATGATAAAAATTAGAGTTATCGTCACTGTTTTGCATCCTCCAGTGAAACAACACATCTGTGCCGTGATAAGCAGGGGCAGCTAAACCATCATGTTAACCACTTAGAAACCACCAGATGTTATGTGCCTCCTGAGTGACATAATGGGAAGCATGCAGCCCTATGAAGCATTCCTGCCAAAAAGACTGAATTTGAGCCTGACTGACCCTCTAGATGTATGTACCAGCTTATGGGAAATACCAGGGACACAGAAACAAGTTAAAGGACACCATGAGGCTGCAATCAGCCAAATCTAGATCGTGGGGAATTCCATAGAGCAAATGAGCCTATTTCTTCAACAAATTAATGGCAAGAAAAAAAAAAAGGAATATATAGTTTGAAAGAGATTTGGGGCAGTTGGCTGGTTCAGTAGGTGCAGCATGCAACTCTCAATCTCAGGGTCATGAGTTCAAGCTCCAAGTTGGGCATGGAACCTACTTAAAAAAAATGTAAAAAAAAAAATTAAGAGATTTAAGACACATTCCCATTGAGGGGGAAGAAAGAAGGTATGAAAAGTAACTGGCACATAGTAATAGCTCAATAAATGAGACCTACTGTTACTTTACAATGAGCAAACTGCAACTTAGAGAGATTAAGTAACTTATGTAATGTCATACCAAATTGGCCAACACCACCACGGTTTCTTGTCAGAAAGTCCTATGTCTATGTAGCCCAGTTGGGCAGCTACAATAATCACCAAAGCCATTCGCTGAAAGTGAGTTTTTATTCCAAATGACTGTAATGGCTAGAAAGACAACAGATAAAACTGAAAATGATTCTGCATAACTGGAAAGTAGAAGTAGTTGATGTTGCAGGGAGCACACAGTAGGTGACAGCTTGGCACTTGATAACGGCAATAACCAAGAATTCATAAAAATAACTGATGTCCTTCTGATACACAATCTGGATGTGCAGCATTTACAGCAAATAACATAAAAAGAAAGAAAGGAGGAAAGAAAAGAAAGGAAACAAACCCTCACAAAATCCCAAACTTCAGAAATTAATATTCGCTTAAGAACACAGTGGTGACGACTTTTGGTAGCAAAATTTTCACAATTCTTAAAATGGGAGTCTTCAAAAGTACTTCCTCAAATTCAAAAGCTAAAAAAACCGAAGAGGGAACAGTTACACTGGCTTAGAAGAGCTGCCGCCTGTCACAAAGACGACAATCAGTCCTACTTCCAAACACAGTGATAACCGGTGAACCTGACAGCCAAATGGAGAGGCCGCCGGGCGGGCACTGACACCATGATTGTACAAGAACTCTCTGGATCACGCATCATTAACAACAAACACCACAACTATTGATCCTCCTGACTGACGCTGAGGCTGCCTTTCTGCACCTCAAGTTCCTCGGCACTGACCATCGACGGATCAATGGCCGCGTATTTGGTTCCATGGAATTGCAGCAAATGTATCTGTAGAAACACAGAATTGTTCTTTTAAATGTCACTATGGCATATTTTATACTTCTAAAATTACGCAGCAATATGTACTAATAAGAGACAAATTGGAAAACACAGAGAAGTCAAACAAGTATTTTTAAAAACCACAATTTGAGGGACGCCTGGGTGGCTCAGTCAGTTAGGCATCTGATTCTTGATTTTGGGCCTGGGTCATGATCTTGCAGTTTCTGAGTTCAAGCTCTGTGTCAGGCTCTGTGCTGACAGAGCAGAGCCCGTGTGGGATTCTCTTTTCCTCTCTTTGCTCCTCCTGATCCCCTCTCTCAAAATAAATAAGCATTAAAAAATAACACCCACAGTTTGGGATCTTTGTTCCTTATTTAACATGTAACAGGTCTCTCCCAAGTTCCTATAAATTTCATCATCTTAAGTGGTG